ACCTACCTTCTTAATAAATTTTTAAGTGCATAGTATGGTATTGTTAACTATAAACACCATGCAGTAAAGCATATCTCTAGAACTTATTCATCTTGCATAAATGAACTTTATAACCATTATTTTGAAAGAATTTTGTGCATGCTTGATCATGTGCCTGCCAGGGAAGCAGAGCGAAGACACACAATCTAAGACAGTCTTCTGTTATAGTTTGTTTCTCTGGTGTGAACAGTAGCTCACATCCTCTGTCTTGGCCCAGGACAGTGCCCGTCTCTTGCTCTCTGTCACAATGTAAGCTGAAGAAACTTTGATTGTCTAGACATTCCACATTATATCACGCAATACAATATTCATGGATGACATCACATTAATTAAACCTGATGAGCAAGAAATTGCAAGGACACTAGCAGACTTACAAAAATATATCTGCTCCAGAGAATGGAATGCAAATCCTTCAAAATTCATGAGCTTGCCACATGGGTGAATCCGGCAGGGGTGCAGGTGTCTGAGGCATGCTGGCACATCGTCTTCAAGATAAAGAACAAGTAATTGCACCTTGTACCTCCTACCACTGAGGATGAAGCACAGCGTTGTGTGGGTCTCTGTGGAATGTTGAGATAACACATTACAGCCTTGGGGACGTTACATCATCCCATTTATGAGTTATATTGAAAGCCTGCCAGATCTGAGTGGGCCCAGAGCAGGAGAGAACCCTGCATCAAGTTCAGGTAGAGATGTAAGTGGTTCTATCACTTGGGCCACACAATGATCCAGCACATTGCTTGGTGCAGGTGGCCTCTGTATCAGATAAGGATACTGTGTGCACACTCTTAAAAGCTCTATTATAATGTCACATCATAGATTTCTAGGGTTAAAGTGCAAGACCATCCCATCCTCAAAAAAATAAAAAATGAAAAATATACACTCTTCACAAATAAGCTCCTAGAATGTCAGGGACCTCTGATAGACTTGCCCATGGGACATTAAGTAGCTGTGTGATTGAGCTGCCCATTTTAACGTGGTAATTTCAGACCCATAAAATTATCAGATTGAGTGGGTCTTAGTGGCAACTGATCTTAGGCTGGAGATGGTTTCTTTAGGATTGGTTCTAAGTGGAATCAGCGGCACACTTAATTTCCATGGACAGGTGTTCCTGTCCCCAACATCACTTGCCACACTTGCCCTAACACTTCTTCATCAGCTTATATTTTGGCATCAAGAGAGTTGTGAACCAGCTAATGCCAGAGAGAAAACTCCAGAACTTGTCCATGAATATGTTGGAATCACATGTTAGATCAAATAAAAGTGTAAAGCTCCCACACTGTAGCCAAATTCATGGGAGACTCTGAAATAAAATGTTGAATTTGCAGAGACTTGAGCAGCGCAAATAGTTATAACAGTCTGCATAGTGAACTGACCTGAGAAAAGCATTTACACAGATTTCTGGATATTGGTTAATCAGAGGCCTGGAAGGAAAAGATCGGAAGATCAGAGATTAGGAGATCTTGGAGAAAGGACTGTTAGGGAAGTGGTCACAATGTAAGCAGAACTTTGTGCTATGTCAAAATTCAGTAGAGCAACTACCACAGACAAGATATCAAACAACCAAATGAGGAAAGTCTTGTACCTCAAGGCAGATCAGCAGGCCCCAACCTTTGTTCTTGACTACCAAAGTATTTGCTCACTGTGTTCATGAATGGTATGACCCTGGTGACAAGGGTGAAGACTATGCATATGCCCAACAGCATGAGCCTACCACCACCACCTCAACCAGTGTAGATCTAATTATTGTCACCTCTGGAGATCTGAGTTCTCAGGAGCAGGGACTAATACCACCAGCCACTTGGTGGTAATTTCGTACACTATATCACTACCTCCTGGAGAGGGTATGAGGCATCGTGTCTGGGATTAGTTGTACTCTGGATATAGTTCGACATTTCCTGCCCACTGAGCCTCAGCTGGTGTCACCATCTAAGGATTCACAGAGTTGGTGGTTTACCAATGAGAGAATCCACTGGAACAAGGGATCTACCTTGTGATGAAGGCCATGTAATAATAAACACACAACCATGGCATCTATTGATCCTGCCACGTACATCACACAAAGTGGCCTGCTGGGGTACGATATCCTGTAGACCTTAGAAACTCTCCTTTAGGATGCTATATATGGAAATAGTGACTGCGAGAGCAAGAATGAATAGAACTACAAATCAGGGGGTGAAATTAAGAGCACGCCCGCTAATCATTACATATAATGACCAATTTGGAAACATGTGCTTCCTGTCATGCAAGTCTAGGTTTTGCTGTACCAAAGTTTCTGATTAATCAGAGAGGAATACTTCTACCTGGAGATTCTATAGGATATTCTAACGCTACATCAATTTGGGGTGTTTTATGTCAGTTGACCAGCAGGCAATCAAAGAATTCACTATTTTAGCAAAGGTAAGTAGACCCGTTATTCATGAAGTGACAGTTTTCTGTTATAAATATGGAGCAGACTGGGAGAAATATGTCTGTGTGTCTGAACTGACGCACAACAGAACCCACAGCAAAAATCCAGATTTTAGAAATAATTGCTGCCTCAGCCCCACCCTGGAGCATTGATTCAAAACCTTTTGAGTGGGACTAGGGCATCTGCATTACAAAACAACCTCCCTCAAGGATTTTACACAAAGTAGAGTTGTACTAGAGTAAAGAAATGACACCACATAGTAACTAAAATATACACGAACAGATGAAGAGAAACAGAAATGGTAAATAAGAAGGTTGTTACCATAATAAATATAAATATATGCTCTTTTCCTTTCATTTCCCAGCTTCTTAAATAAACAAAACTATATAGAGTGATAATTCTAGTGATATATTATGGGACTTGTGACAAATATAGATGTAACACACGTAGCATTAATGAGCACAAATCAGGAAAGAGGGAGTAGAGCTATATAGGAAACAATAAGATGCCTATATCTCACTGGAATTGTTAGTATAAATCAGAATTATATTCTGATGTGTTAAGATCTATATATAAGCCACAGAGGAAAGACTAAGAACACACCCTTTAAAATATAGTGAATAATTAATAAATCTGCATTGAGACAAAAATTTTTTCCAAGAATGACGTACATAAATTTACAGATTCAAACAAATAAACAAGCAAAAAGTGGGTTTATTAGTAGATTCAATCAATGGAAAATCTTTCAAATGTGCACTTTAGGCAGAACGATATTTACAATGATGGAAAGACTGAGTTTTCTTTGTTTTTTAGTAAGAAAATGACTTTCTTTTCACTCTTTTCTACTTAACGTTGGCTGAGGAATGGATTCAAAATCATGGTAGCAGTGATTTCAAAGCAAGAAGGGAAGCTGTATGTCAAAGTTGGTAGTACCACTTGCCGAACCCCCTTAGTGACCTAATGGAGCGGAGCCACTCACCCTCCCATGGCCACCAGCCAGCCTCCTCTGGACTATCATGTTAAAGAAAGACAAATCCTGTCCTATTCAATCAACTACATTTTGAGGTTTCTTTGTAACAGCCAATTAGATTGTCCTCTGATTCTCCTTCATATCCTCTTTCATTTTTTGAGATCATTTCTTTTCCACCACATTGTTTTGAGAGTGTAGCCCTTTGGAATATGAGTATCCTATAGGATTCTTTTACATATCTCACCACCTTGAGTGGGTTTTGGCTTTATCTCCTGTTTCACATCAGAGCAGACACTTAAGTTCACTAGCTGTTGTCAATCACATGAGGACGAAAGATGACTATGGATTGCAGAACTCCTAGTCTTCCGACTTTCACTGTTTTTTTCTCCCAGTGCATTCCATAATCTCGTGTAATCCCAATGATGCATTCATATTTTAAAACAATTTACTAAGTGTCTTAAGTTCCATAATTTAAGAGCTCCAGTCTGCTGAATTTATATGTATATATATTTCCATACACTTTCAAACCTAGTGAAATTGACACATTAGAATTTTAATTGCACTTGCCATGGAATCTATTATCTTGGGATAAGCAATCATCTCTAATATACTTTATTTTCTTAAACAGAAACAGGATCAGCTTGTTTTGTCAGTTCAATCATTCTTTTACTTCTACCATAATATGTTATGACATGTAAAAGGCGTGACCCATGATTAAGCCAGATATCACTTTCCAGCACTACTTTACATGGAATCTTTTCAATGCATATATTTTCTATACATTTCCAACTAATACATATTATTGACTTCATTTGTAGTTAATGACCATGTCATGTTAGAATAACACATTTATTTACTGTTTGAAATCTTTTCTTATGACAATATAGTATCAAATTTGTCATATCTAAAACTATCTAGGTTAAATAATCTTGATATCCTTACCATTTAGGAGAGAAAGAAAAATTTCATATCATTCTGGATTTTTTCTATAGTATATGGAGTAAGCTTTACATTCTCCATAATTTGGTTTTTGCTGTTTATTTTCAAAGCCCACTTTTGAAATTGGAACTAAACCCTTTTCACTCAGAAAAGCGTAATGGAGGCAAATCAAAGTCTTTTGGCATTGAAATCTTTTATTTGCTGTGAATTTCAAAAGGTCTATCTGAATACTCAAAAATTAAACATTTTTACTAATTATTCTCATCTATACTCTCCCTGAGGATAGCTTGTGAGGAATGTGTTCTCGAACATATTAATGGCGAGGATAGTGTAATTAGTAAAGAAGTAGGAAGTTGGGGGTGTGGAAAATACCACTTTACCCATATCACCAAATACAATCCAGTAAACATTATGTCCTAAACTGTTCATTTCCAATGTGTGTTAAACTTTTGTTGCCGCTTCTCTGTGTCACTTGTCTGGTTGTTACACTGGCTACATTTAATTGACTAATGTAGACAAGGCAGTGGGATTAGGATGAGCTTTCATTCAGCTCTTCTTCCACCGTTAGTGTTCTCACAGGACACAGGACCGCTGAATTCCCCTGCTGTTTATGCCATGCCAAGGCTGTGCAGCTGACAGAACTTAATGTGTGGTGCCTGAGGTGTACCCCAGCAAGCATGGCCCAGAGCCCTCAGCTGCATCCCATTCCCCTGAGTTCTCCAGTGTCTTCCTCTTACACAGCCTCAGAGATTCTGCTGTGCTCTTCCCCAGAGAATTCCCACAATTTGGGGCAGTTACCACCCCAGGCAGGGTGGTTTGTGTTCTGGGCTGTACCACTGTGGGGGGACTTTGTGTAGCTTGCATGCAGTAATAAACTCCAACATCCTCAGCTTCCAACTTGCTGATTATAAGGGTGAAATCTGTCCCAGACCCGCTGCCACTGAACCTGTCTGGGACCCCAGATGCCCGATTGGAAACCATAGAGATCAGGCGCTGAAGAGACTGGCCTGGCTTCTGCAGGTACCAATGCAAATAGGTGTTTCCATTACCATGTAGGAGGCTCTGACTAGACTTGCAAGAGATGGAGGCCGACTCTCCAGGGATGACAGACAGAGAGAGTGGGGTCTGGGTCAAAACTGTGTCCCCAGTGGATCCTAAAGTAATGAGAGAAGTACCAAGTTACATACAAATATTAGCAGCCATTGTCATTGTTTCCATTCTCTTATTTATTTTAGCTAAAATACTACTTTGTTTTACTGTCATTATTCGTGATTTTGAGTCATTCACTAAAAACTTACAATCACAATAAAGAACCTGAGATTTCCGAGGGGAAGAAGGCCTCCAAAAGTCAGCTATACCATCCCCACTTTCTCTGTCATAGTCCTCACCAGTGCACAGGTCTTTGTTCCTTCTAGAATCTTCCTCACTCTCACAGATCTAAATATCATATGGCTAAGGCCTAAGGACAAGACATACACATCTACCATGGAGTCAGAATAAACGTGGAGAGCAGTGGTACCCCCAGAGCTCACGCTTCCACCAACCCATGCTCCTTTCTCATCTCCCCTCTGTCCTTACCTGGGACCCAGAGTATTAGCAACCCCAGGAGCTGAGCAGAGAACCTCATTTTGAGAAGTTGAACTGATGAGTCCCGATAAGTCAAAGCAAGATTAGAGTTGACCTTTTATCTCAGACTCTCAAGGGAAAGTCCTCCCTAGGGAACAATATGCAAATCCCCTTGTGGGTGCAGCAGTGTGGAGAGAGCCAAGGGGAGGGTGGGAGGAGCTCTCCTTTGAGATAAATGTAATAAAAGGTTCTCTGTGCTTGGAAGAAACCAATAAAGCCGAAGTCCATATTACCTGCAGTGGTGGGAAGAAGGATCTGACTGTGAAAGTCTGGATCTGTTGGGAGGACACAGAGCATATGAGACCCTGAAATGTAGACATGTGTGCCCAGGGTCAATCTCTGGGGATTAAAGTCCATCTTGCTCAGATTCTTCCCAGCTACTCTAGAGAAGGAATCAGCTCCCAGCCCTACTAGTACTGATCATCAGAATTTTCTCCAAATAACAGCATGGAGTTGAGCTAGTTCAAAATTTGTCAGGTAACTGCTGCCACCAGGTTAACTTTAAGAATGTTAGAATCAGGTGTTAGAAATGGTCTCTTCCTGGGACCTAGTGAATTAATAAATAAGAGCACTCAAATCAAAAGCTCTTGGCAGAGAAAAAGTAATATGTCTGTTGTAGAGTGAGCTAATAGCTAATATTTTAAGGTAATAGCAAAAGTGGAAAGAATTTGTCTCAGATAATGAATATAAAATTTGTGGAAGCCAGTTGTTATAATCCAGTGTATATGTGTGTATTCTATCATACACTCTCTCTCTCCCCCTCTCTCTCTCTCTATAGTTAGATAGATGGATAGATAGATAGATAGATAGATAGATATAAAGCAGATTAATCAAATAAAATATTTCTTTTTTTTTTTGCCTTTTTTTTATTGAGTTATTGATAGGTTACAATCTTGTGAAATTTCAATTGTACATTAATGTTTGTCAGTCATGTTGTAGGTGCACCACTTCACCCTTTGTGCCCACCCCCCACCCCACCTTTCCCCTGGTATCCACTAAACTGTTCTTGGTCCATAGTTTTACATTCCTCATATGAGTGGAGTGATACACAGATTATCCTTCTCTCGCTGGCTTATTTCACTTAACATAATTCTCTCAAGGTCCATCCATGTTATTGCAAATGGAATGATTTTGTTCTGTTTTGCAGCTGAGTAGTATTCCATTGTATATATGTACCACATCTTCTTTATCCATTCGTCTGTTGATGGGCACTTAGGTTGCTTCCACGTCTTGGCTATTGTAAACAGTGCTGCAATAAACATTGGGGTGCACAGGACTTTTGGGATTGCTGACTTCAGGCTCTTTGGATAAATACCCAGTAGTGGGACGGCTGGATCGTATGGTAGTTCTATTTTTAGTTTTTTGAGGAATCTCCATACTGTTTTCCATAGTGGCTGCACCAGTTTGCATTCCCACCAGCAGTGTACGAGGGTTCCTTTTTCTCTGCAACCTCTCCAACATTTGTTGCTATTAGTTTTAGATATTTTTGTCATTCTAACGGGTGTAAGGTGATATCTTAGTGTAGTTTTGATTTGCATTTCCCTGATGATCAGTGATGATGAGCATCTTTTCATGTGCCTATTGGCCATCAGTATATCCTCTTTGGAGAAATGTCTGTTCATGTCTTAATCAAATAAAATATTTCTTAAGGAAATAATTCCTTCCCTTGGGATGATGGGACATAGTGAATAACGAATGATTTTATATCATTTTTTCTGAGTGGTGCTTAGACAAGCTCTTCCCATATTGACTTCTCTTCAAGTAGTATCAGCCCCTGTCAGGATAGTGCAGGTTCTCGACTGCTCTGTGTGAGAACCAGTCTCTCTTCTGGCCTGTGTGTTGAGAAGCCAGAGCCATGAGTCTACGTTTCAAAGAGGGATTTCATTGGTGATAATGGCCCAAGGTAACCTGTACCTGTCACTGACATATTCCTGAGCTTTCATTTAAATAAGGTCACCATGGAATAGGGTTCTAGGTCAGAGCTGCTCAGAGGGGTCTACCACAACACCCTCCATTACAGTGGGGAAACAAGATGTTTATTCTGTGTATGTCAGCCTGATACAGGAATGATGAATTGAACAGTTCCTGAAAAATAGTACCAGTGTCAAACTGTTTTTGTCTTGCAAATAAAATCCTGGATCCACTGAAAAGGTAGATTTTGTCTTCTCATTAAATTTGGGGTAATTTAAACCCAAAATCAGACTTCATTGGCCAAGAAAACAAATTAACAGATACAATACTGTGTAAGATTCCACAAGAATGTTTGGTCTGAATATCTTCTGAGAAATCCTCAACAATAAGATTTTCAAACAATGCTGAAAAGGATAATTGAGCAAAAATTATGTTGACCTTTAAACTCTGAACTCCATGGCAGTAATCTCTTCTACCGAGATAAATTGTGGTATAGAGGCAGATGTAGCATTATGCATGTCCCATTTTCAGTAGTTAAAATATTATTTACCCTTTTGTTTTGTTCCATTTTTTTAGGCTTTTGGTTTCTTTGATCTCATCATATCTGATGAGGCTAAGCAAGGCAATTCTGAGTCCTACTCCTGGCTTCTGAAGGTACCAATGCAAATAAGTGTTTCTATTACAAGGTAACAGGCTGCTGTCCTGAAAATTCCAACTCTCCTAATTCACCAGGCCTCTGAAAAAGTCACAAACATAAACAGCTGATAGAAAAATAAATAAACAAAGAAGCCAAGAAGCAAAAAGAGGACTCTTATAAATCGTAAAGCTAGGATTCTAGGACTATTTTAAGCTGTTTTAAATTAAGAATTGTTTTTATTCACTCTTAGTGGTTGAATTGTGTCCTCAAAATATTATGTTGGAGTTTTAGCCTCTATTACCTTAGAATGTGACATTATTTTGAAAAAGAGTCGTTAAAGACAAAATTAGTTAATTTAGATGTGCTGATACTACAGTATAGTGGGCCCTTAATAAATATGACTGGTGGCCTTATAAGAGGAGGAGAAAAGACGCAAAGACAGAGACACGAAGAGAAGAGACGATGTGAAGACGGAGGCAGTGACTGGATTTCTGTTGCCACCGTCAAGGCAGGCCTGGGGCCACCAGAAGCTGGAAAGAGGAGGGATGCATCCTCTCCTAGAGGTTTCAGAGAGGGCATGATGTGGCCAACACCTGGGTTTCAGACTTCAGGCCTCCAGACTTCGGGGAGAATAAACTTCTGTTGTTTTAGACCACCAAGTTTGTGGTACTTTGCTATGTCAGCCGTAGGAAACTAGTACGTGACTATCCAACATGGAAATGGATATTTGGGAAAATGAGTAATAGTGAGAATTCTGTTGTGTGTTTTTAATTACAAATCAATTTTAAAAATTATGTTAAATAACAAGGGCGTTTTCTCAACAGAAATGCAGCATTGCAGTGAGCACGTGCTTAGGCTGCAGCACTGGAATCATGTGAGTGTGGGGAAAATGCGCATGAGCAGCTTCACAAGAGAAAGTCTGAGAGTGGATGGGCAGATTGAGGAACTGTTCAGAGCGAATTCAGGAAAGAAGAGTAAAAAAGAATTATGAAGCAATATTATTATGTCATTGTACATTTGAGAGACTCCAGGGAGCTCTGACTTGCTCAAAAGCAAAATATCACACAGTGCAGGCAGCTCTCCAGTCTCCTGATGGTTAGTGAGAGTGGTGATCAGTGTGCAAAGGAATGAAGCAGGGCCCTGAAGGGATTAAGTGGCATCAGGTGATGTCAGGACCTCACTAGGGTCTCCTCCGGGTGACATGACTGAGCTTCCTTGCAGCCATGAGTTCAGCAAGGAACCTGAATGGATGCTCCAGGAAGGACATTGCAGCCATTCGCTGGAGGGTCTGTGGGGTGTAAGTGCCCTAAGCGGGGTGGAAGGAAGAGGTTCTGGGAGGCTGTCCTTGTGATGCCCTGGCCCCTGTGTACACACAAGAAGTATCAGTGGCTGTGACTGAGGCCTCCAAGGGCTCTTCCTCAAGGCTCTACAGCCATCTCCACCTGAGCCCAGCCTGGTATCCACTTGTCCTCTGGGCACCACAGCTGCTCCTGCTGACCTGAGAGGCTGAGCCTCCTTGGGAGGTTTGTGTTTGGGGCTGTCACACTGCAGGGTCCAGTGAGAGCCCTGCTCACAGGAGTATGTGCAGCTTCTCCAGGATCCACATCTGTGAATATGAGCAAGAAGTCAATAGAATTTTGAATGGATGTGTGTCCCCACTGTGAATATGTGTAGAAATGCACTCTGACTTGTCAAATTTTGTATGCGTTACAGACTTCTCATGGTATTACATTTCCTTTTTTTTTTTTTTTTTTTTGGACTTTCTAGTTAGGAATTCAATTTTAATTGCACTCGCCCATGGACCCCGTTATCTTGGAATAGGATGTCATTTCTAATATGTTTTATTTCTTAGCCAGACACAGGGTTATATTGTCTTAGCGATACACACACTCTTTTCCTTTGATCATTCCATGTCATGACATGTAACTGACATGACCATTATTAGTTCAGGAATATTTTCACAGCATTTTTTTTCAATGGGATCTATTTGATCTATTTATTTTCTATGCAACTATCACTAGAAAATGTGAGTCAGATCAGTTTCAGGAAATGAACATGTCATGTGGAAACAATGCATTTACATTTATTGTTTAAAGTTGCTTATGATAACATAGTAGCAAGGTTGTCATCTCCAAAACATTATTTAGCCTAAAAAAAAATGGGAAGAATCTCTATTCCCAGGTAGAATGTGGAGGGTTTAGAAAGCCATCACCTGTGAAAGGTACAATAGAATGAAAGGGCAAAATGTAGTTATTTCTAATGACATTAGAGAGCTGTGAAAAAAATGAGGACTAGATGAAATAGAATACCAGTGAAAAGAACCCTTTCCAGTTGAGCCAGTGTTTACGTGAGTTTCGTATTATGTTCCAAAATTGCATCTGGACAGTTCCGACTTGGCCCAAGCAGAGGAACACACCTGGGAAGAGAGAATCCAGCTGAGCTTTAGTGGTCTC